TAGTAAGTAGTAGTGTGTGTGTGTTTGGGGTGTGTGTGTGTATATATATATATATATATATATATATATATACACACACACACACACACACACACACACACACACATAAATAAATAAAACACTTAAATAAAAGCCAAAAATTACAAGAAATAAAACTAATATTCAAACTTTAGGTTTAACAGCTTAAGAAGTTACAGCTATACTGAAATCAATGAAAATGTTACAGACTACAGTACAAGTGCAATTAAAAACGAAACGCAAATATTATGCTTAAATTAAAAAAGAATGTGCTTTTATTATTAACTTAACAAGTTTAACATATTTTACCGAGTTTAAGTATGTTTTAGACAACGTTTCATAGACTTAAAATTAATTTTTCAACTTTCTATTTCTGCTTCAAAATTTGGGATCCTAATACTGATAATTAAAAAAACTGTTATACTGAACAGCACAAAAAAAAATTATAATCACACACTAATAAATTATAAAGACCTAAATCCCAAACAATATTGTCCAATAACGTTAATACTAAAACTAGTGGTAATACTACTAGTTCTATAAAGTATCACTACTTGGTACTACTAATGCTGCTACTACTACTAGTACCTACTAAGTAGAGGTATTACATTACAATCTACAAATAGTACTACAAGTATAACTTGAATAGACCCACAATCTGGTATTATCAACCGTTTTGAGTCTTAAGATAATAACTAAGATCATTTCTACGTAATATAAAAAAAAATCATATCTGCTTACTCAGAAAAGATTATGCTCAAAAACTATGTATGTCGATATTTTGTAAACAAAATACGTTGAGAAGGCAAGTGAACTATCTTTTAACGCCTCACTCAATAAATTCAGCAAGAAAACCTGCAGACTAGATAATCTGCCTTCCTCCTCCAAAACCGTTAAAATATTTTCTGGAAGCCCCGTAGTGTATGACGCAACTATATATATGCGGAATATTCTCGGTTAGGGTCGCCTACGGCAGTAGAACGGCGTTTTGGCTAAGTATTTTGTATTAATTTGTATAAATGTTTACACCATGAATTTAATGAACTATGTCCGTTACCAGATGCTAAAAATTCAGTTACTATAACTGAAATATATTATTTATTTAAAGATTATTATGGCAAGGATAATTTGTTTTATTTTTCATAGATTCTGCATCTCAGCAAACCCTTGTGAGTATCAAGGTGCCAGATCACAAAGAAGTACCAGAAGCCATACAAAAGCTCTGTGGTATGACAGGACATTATGCAAGGTTGTGGGGACCAGTGTGGATAACTATTAAGCTCATGGGCATAAAGGACAGACACAAAGTATACTTGGCCGACATTGAAGACCAATGCATATTAAGGTTGGACTACTTACTGCCGAGGAAGTATGTAGTTAACTTTGATAAAATGACGTTTGGGAACAACAAAGGCCAAATTCCGGTAAGTGTTGCTGCATCTGTTGATTTGCATGTCACAGCATTTAAGTCAACTACAATACCCACTATGTCAAAGAAGATAAGTTGGGGTAGAATAAAAGAACATTCCCAAGGAAGGTCAATGCTTGTGGAAGCAGTGAAGACCCATCCAGGCCAGTGGATTTGAAGATTGGAAGGTCACTTGTGGTAGGTCATCAATTAGTACCTATAACAGTGGCCAATTTCTCTAAATGTGAACAGACACTTAAGGAAGAAGCATTGTTGGGTGTGTGTCAGTCAATGTTAAAGCAAGAAGTACAACTATAAAGAAAGAACATACACTTCCAGAACATTTAACTGACCTCTATAAGAAGAGCATACTCCATTTGTCATCATCACAGGCTCTTCAGGCTAGAGAACTCTTGCCAAATTATGCAGACGTCTTTTCAAATGGAGATCATGACCTCGGCTGCACAGACCTTGTGTAGCAC